TTAGTCTTTTTAAGTTTATTCTATTTTCTGTGTGTGGATGTGCACACACACACACACACACACACACATATAAAGGTGCCACAGAACAAGTATGGCAGTCAGAGGTTAACTTGCAGGAGTCAGTTCACTCCTTTCACCAGCCCTGGTCTTAAGTACTGATAAACACCTAGGGGGAAAATCAGCTTTAAAAACTATTTTGGAGAAAATTCTTTCATCTTACAGAATAAATTTAAGAATTTACATTAAACTGTGAAATAATTGTTCAAATGTTAATGTTGTACTTTCTAAATCTGGGCCAGTGAGATAGATCCTTTGATAAAGGGATCTTCTGCCAAACTTGACGACTTGATTTGGGTAAACATACACACACACAAACACACACTCACACACTTTTAAATTTTAAAATAAGTCAACATAGACTCTAAAATAGTTGTAAAAGCATGCAAGGACCTAGCAGGCCATGGTGGTACACACCTTTAATTCAGGACTGGGGAGCTAGAAACAGACAGATCTGAATCAAGACCAGTCTGGTCCACAAACCAAGTTTCAGGACAGCCAGAGCTACACAGAGAAACCCTATCTCAAAGGAAGGAAGGGAGGGAGGGAGGGAGGGAGGGAGGGAGGATAAAGTATTCTCATTTCTTTGAATAAGGTAACATATATTTCTGACACTTCTTAAAGCTTTTTGCATTAAGTATAGAATATGGAAATTTCAGATTTCTACTGATAACTAAGAGTGGGCTAGCTTACATTTAGTATCTCACTGACCTTAATAGAAACTCAAATTTGAAAGCTCTTTGGAATGTAACATAAAAAGTCAAGTGTAAGAAACTGTTTTCTGTGACATTTGTGTTTGAGTAATTTTTCACTTTAACCTCATATAATTTTCCTACCTAGGTCTGTTACTTGTCGATCAAATGGGCAACGTATTGCTCTTCCATGCAGAGGCAAGCGAGTAAGACAGTCATGACAGACTGTGTGGCCACAAAGGAGGAGGCGAGGAACTTTATCTCCTTGCAAAGAGAAGACATCTTCACAAACCCCACACTCCAGAACCTGCATGTGAAACAGAAACAGGTGCCCTGTAAAAACTACTGAAACAATATTCAAATATTTTAGATTTAAAAACAATTGACCTAGTATACTGAATCAACCTCATTACTTTATTCCTCCATGGAAAAAAAAACTAAGTTATAAAATGTTAAATCACATTTTTCACTCATTTCAATTTCACAGACCCTGCCAAAGTGAAACTTTCTTGAAATGCTTATGTTGAAAATTAACATAATTAACATAATCTAATCTTCTGAAAACTGAATATGTAACAATTTATAATTCTACTGAAACCCCAAATCAACAGTCATTTCATTTTGCTTTTAGTTTCCTTTTAAAAAGTGTTTAGAGATTTATTTTTATTTTGTGCTTGGGTGTTTTGCCAGCATTTATGGTGCATCATGCTAATGCAGTGCCCACAGAGGTCAAGAAACAGTGTCAGATTTCCTGGAACTGGAGTTACCAATGGTTGTTAGCTGCCAAGCAGGTACTAGGAATCAAACCCCAGTCCTTAAAAAAGAGCAGTCAGTGTTCTCAACAGCTTCATATCTCTCTACGCCTTGTTTTATTTCCTCGTAAATGACATTTCACTGAGTACCCCTGGATGGACCTTAGAAGCTGGCCTCAAACTTATAGTGATGTTTCTGCCTCTGCCCCCCAAATGCTATTACAGGAGACGCCACTATATCCCGCTAAACTGCCACTGATTTCCACAAAATAATCTAAAATGTGTTTAGGGACAACAATCACTTTTCTAAACTATAAAAAACTTATAAGAAAGTTTCCAAGGAATTTCAAGCATCTTCTAGATTTCACAAAATGATGGAAAGGCAAAAACAAAATTAACTGAAAATTAAATTTCAATTCCTATTCCTACTGATGAAGTAGCTCTGACTTAGAGATATTTATCTATCTAGTTGTAATCACAGGTATATGACATACTGAAAGACAGTGAGAAAGAAAAGCTCTGAGAACTGGCTCACTCTGACCCTCAGGTCCATGGGCTAATATTTTATGTATAGTCACAAATTGTAATTATAACAGTATAGCATTTGCAGTGCTTTTACAACTATCTCTTTGTGTTGTTTTAAAATAATCACAATGAATGGCTCCACTGGCTACCATTCTTTCGCCTCACTGCCCTACCTCTCAGCCCCCATGCTCCCTGTGCAGCTAGCACTGGGCCACTTGGTTCTGTGATCAGTGAGTCTTCATTCCTTCTTTATGCTAATCAAACATCTAAACATTTACCTGATTTCTTTGTTAAAAGTTTTTATATTCATAAACCAAAAAAAATCCTAAGTAGCATATTTCTTGGTCTACCAATCTCTCACTCCAACTGAAATGATTACATTATCTCTGGGTTTCCATGCACTCTGAGTATCTATCTGCCTGTCTGACCCAAATACTTCAGTACTTTAATTGACCAGCCTGTCTTTCCCTATTAGAACAAGAGTGCAAAACAGTACAGTCCCAATACAAAGCACCTACATGCTTATGAAAAATAAAATCCAACAAAATAAAGTTAAAAAACAATTCAAGCCACCAAACACACACAACACAAAATTAAAAAATAGAAAATTTAGACTGGAAATCTCATTAGACTCATTGCAATTTTAAACTTGATTGTCTAATACATTTAGACTTAGAAACTGAGGTGCAAACATCTTTTACTATAATTAAACTAGTAATTCGTAGTTACCTCACATACTGGTAATAATTCAAAAGAAACTTAAATGTGATATAATTCACAGGAAAAAAAGAGGAGACAAATATCTGCTAAATGTATAAAGAAAACTTTATATTAAGAGTTCAGTCTAACTCATTAAAGTACAAAGAATAACTACATCAAGATATTTTTTCAAAAAGTTGTTAATGCTTTGTATTAATAAAAGTACAGGAAAACACTGACTGAAACAAATTTACTGAGTAATAATAGCATCTATGGACACAATTTAGCAGTACTTAAGGAACTTATTCTAAACTACATCATACATACATGACAGAATCCAAATGTTTTCTTCCTTCTTGCTATTGCTGTTTCTGCTGCTGGGAAATCTCAGGATCCTGCACCTGTCAGGTAAACGGTCTACTACTGACTCACATCCCCAGCCCACATATGACAAAGTCAATGTGTAACTCCTTAAAGCACTATTTGTATCATTAAATAATTAAAAACAAGATACATATAAATACTAAGCTCAAAGATAAACTATAGTGCACTCATGCCATAACTACAACCATTAAGGTTTTTATGTATATATGCAGAATATCATATGAATAAAGTGAAAAGAAAGTGTTAAGAAGAATTATGACATGATAATCCAATTATGGAAAAAAATGACAAAATATCCTGCAGGTATTCCCATTTGGCAAAAGCACAAATCAAAATATTAAATCTCAAACACAAAACATGCTTAATGAGGGCTCCTCTACATTTCATTAATATAAAAAGTTAACTGACTCAACAGCAATAAAAAATGACTGATAATAAATTGTAGGCATAAATTCCTCAAAAACAGACCTTTGCTAGAGAGAGATAGAAGAGAGAGAGAGAGACCATTTAATGAGTTAAAAGAACATCCAGCCAGGCTTGGTTCACGGTTATAAATCCAAGTGTACATTAAAATGACCTCTGGCAATTAAAAAAAAAATGTCCTGACGTCAACACACTCAGGAAGAATTGTTTAATCTCTTGGCTACAGATAATCTTCTAATTTACTACCTAAACCACATTCCCCTTTTAGATCTGTTACAGTGGGGGGAGGAGGGAATGAGCCTCACATAGTTGCACTTAATTGTTAGTAAATGTACCTAGTAAATATACGGTAGGATCTTCTAACTAGAGAGTACTCTATGCATCTAGTGTTAAAACCCAACTGTGCTGCAGTTGGAGAATTTAGAAGTTTTCATACTCTACTAGTCAGAGACAAGGGGCAGCTGTGCAGTGTTGAAAGGCAGACGTTGACAACCAGTAAACTCTGGGCCCTTAGCACATACTGTGTTAACTTAAACCTAGGGTTCCTCCCATGTAAAATGCGAATTAACATCTACCTTTTAAGTAGATATTAGCGAGCTGAAACATCTACCATACTACCTGTCTATTGTAATGAGTGTTTAATACAACTAAGTCAAGTAATGCCTGTTGAGGCATCACTAGAAACAGAAGCCTAGGGGAAAGACCAAATCCAGGTCAACTTTCACAGGCCCACGCGATGCTTTTCACAAACAGCCCCACGGACGACGTTGACACGTTGAGTTAGAAGACCAGGCAACTTCAGCTCCGCTGGGCAAGGATCGCGGAGGGGCAGGAAAGGCTTGTAACGCCCACCAGAGGCCACGCATCGCGCCAGGCCAAGCCTGGGCCGCACAGTTGCGGCCAGGACTCCAGGACGAACCGAAGGGAGGCCGCAGGTGGAGAACAGAGCACGCAAGTTCCCTCACCTTCACCACAGCTGTCCCCCGGCTGCCCTGCCGCCCACTGTCTACTCCGGCTCCGGGCTTGTTTACAGCTAGGGCAGCCATCCTGGAAGGAGCAGCGCCACAGCTGCAGTAGAGCCTTTAACTGAGAGGAGGGGTTGAGCGACCTACCCAGAAGCCTCGGCGCATGCCGCTCTCACGCATGCGCAGGATAGATGGGGAGCAGTTCCGCCTCTTCTGACCGTTTCTCTTCCGTCAGTCATTGGTTGTACGTCTTGCGCGTGCGCACTGTTTTTCGTGAAGGAGTCGGCGAGTAATGGCGAGAAGGAATTTTTTTTTTTTAAAGTATGGAACATAAATAAAATTTTATGGTGAAAATGACATTCCTGTAACAATATTTTTCTCTAGAACTGAAGCGAATCAGAATAAAGGAGAGAGTTACATGCCCCCTGCCCCCGCATACGTCGCGAAATTTGTATAAAAGGAACTACAAATCCCAGCATGCCATTACAGTATCTCCCTCCCCCACCCCTACCCGGCAATGTAAGCTTTTGGGAAGCTGCGTATTGTCAGCACGAAGTGGATCATTGTAGTCTTCCCGAGTGGTTAAGGAGAATGTGTAATTCTGAGCGAAGGAATGGCCTTAGTAAAAAGATTCCACTGGGGCCGTAAAGGATTTAATGAAAAGAGGATTTAAGTTCTCAAGAGCAGAAAGAAGTTGGGCGTGCGTTTGAAGCCGGATCTTCCGGGACTTGTACTTTGCACTTTCCTTCCAGACCCGGTGAAACTTCAGCCTGGGTAAACTGAGGTCAGAAGTGCCCGTCAAGATGGAAGTAAATCCCCCCAAACAGGAGCACCTGCTGGCGCTAAAAGGTAAACTGTTGCTAACCTGAGTCTCTTTTCTCTGTTATTTGCCTGTACCCTCACTATTTGAAGGATCCCCGACGTAGGCCTTGTCCCTAAACCCGGCTCTCCTGGCACTTCTTTGCTCCTCCTGGAATGAAATGCGAACATAAGCTCTGAGGTCTCTGCTACCGCAGCCACCACATTTTGTCCACAGAAGCTCACGCCTCGACCCTGCCGCAGATCTCTGTGAACCAGCATAAATTTCAGCTGGCATTTAATGTTTTTTTCAAAAAAATTACTCCTTTATCTGTCCATGTCGCAGAGATGAAGTTACCAGGTTTTAGTTTATCTGTAGATAGTGTAGCACAGTAATGCCAAGGATTTGAAATAAATGGAACTACATATAATACTTCTTAGATTTGTTGAAATATACTGCAAATTAATTCACACTGTAGTATCATGTTTGTGGGAAACTTTTCCAGAATATCTTATCAACTTTAATTTTCTATACGCAGGCAGTTTTGAGTAAGTTTTAATGATTTAATTTGACCATGGAAAAAAAAAAGCTAGGAAGTCAGATTTTCCAGGTATTTGCTTATCAATGGCCTTTTACTTAAAAATATTTTCAGCCTTATTTTGTGTTTGCTACTGCCACAATGCACTTTCTTCCTTTTGGGATGTGCAGTTATTAACAGTTCCTTGCACTGATAGGGAGAAATGTTTACAAGACGTATGAACTGTATTCAGCTGCACTTACCTTCTTCAAGGCATCCCTTTTGATATACTCGATATTCCTTTCCCATTCTCTATGAGCTACATACACATCTTACATGCCAGGAGCTCACCAGTTCCACTGATAACATACAATCATCTTTTGATGCCTGCAGTTAAATACAACCGTCTCTGAATGTGGAACTAAGAAAGTTTGCAACATTGAGCAATACAACCAGACCTGTAGGCTTCCACGTGATCTAGACTAAAATAGATTATATGTATTTGAAAGGAACTTACTGTATATTCATTATCTCGATATTACATCTAGTGTGTGGGCTAGATAGTACTCTTAAGGTCTAGCAACTTTTCCAAGATAACATATCTAGTAAGAGATCAAGACAATAACTCAACAAGGCCTGCCTCACCTAAGATATTCTTTCCTCCTAGCAAATGAAACAGCCTTTTCGTACATCATTGTGATTTCTATATGAAATCATACTTAAACATACTTAAAACAATTACATGAGTTGCTAAGTGTGATTTCACACAACTTAGAAGCTACCAAAAATTCCAGTGGTAGAAAGTTTTATTTGTTATTATTCTTCATTTTTAGAAACACAAGAAGCCTATTGAATTGATCTCAAACTCTCAGTGTAGCTGAAAATGACCTAGTGTTCCTGGTCCCCTTCCCTCCACCTTCCAGATGCTCAGATCACAGATGTACACCACTATACCCAATTTATGAGATGCTGGGATTTGAACCCAGGGCTTTGTGCATGCTAGACAAGCGCTCTACTGACTGAGCTACATCCTCACTTTCATTTGTTTTTCTTGAAATGAAAATACGTTTTACCTAAGAAGAATTCTCAAAATTTCACTTGTCTCTTGAATATATCACTGAATAGGTTCGGACAACAATAAAAGAATTCTCTGTATCCTACCTTACACTGAAAAGCTGTAAAGAGAAAAAATAAACTCATTAATTCCTTATCCTTGATCATAAGTCAAAAGAGGTCAAGTGATCATTATCAATTATTTAAAGAGTATGTCATCACATATTAAATCTATACTGAAACTTAATGAATCTTAGGAAAATTGTGGTTATTTTAAGGGTATAAAAAGATTTATTGAACAGTTACCTCTTAATTCTTCAGAATCAGACTATGGTTCTCTTGTAACATCATGACAGAACTGAGTTATCATTATTGTAGCAGTGTAAGAACGTGGCTTAGTTCTCTCATATTTGAGGAGTAAAAGATTAAGAGAGAGAGAGAGAAACAGAGACAGAGAGACAGAGAGTGTTAGGATATAGAAGAGCCTCTGTTATACTTAGCTTTGGCCTGGTTAGAAACCACAACTTGTAGATCAGATCCTGGCTGGCCCCATTCTTGAGTCCTCATGTGCTGGAACTTCTGGTCACTGCTTTAATTTGGGACATCACGAGAACTTCTGTGTTGTATTCTTCATTTACATCGGTGTCCAGTGAACTAGCATCTTAAGGCTAATTAAAACCACCTTTATATAGAGAAGACTTTGTCATAGCCCCATTTTCTGTTTGAGATTAACATGTAAAGTTAATCCATTTTCATATTTTTAGAGGTTTACTATTGAGAAAGATATATAGTAAAGAAATATTTTACCAGTGAAATATTTATCAATATTTATAGATAGAATTCATAAAAATTTAAAGTATACATATATTAATTTTATCCCAAATATATATATTTTTTAAGCTAGTAATTTTGAGCAGAACAAGGTGGTGCTCGTTTTTAATCCCAGCAGAGGGGAAGCAGAAGCAGGTGAATCCTAGTCTCCACAGTGAGTCAGAACAGCCAGAGTTTCATGGTGAAACCCTGGCTCAAGCAAACTAAAACAAAATAAGAAACCGAAGAATTTCATTTTTCTTAATTTTAAAATCACAGTTTTTTTAAAAACTTTTTTAGAAGACAACTTCTATTTATATGGATGTTTTGCCTACATGTTTGTCTGTACAATGTATTTCTGTATGTGTACCGTGTGCGTGTGTGTGTGTGTGTGTGTGTGTGTCCTTGAAGGCCCGAAGAGACTGTCAGCTAGTGTAATAAATGGTCTTGAACCATCTTGTGGGTTCAGAAAAATGAACCAGAGTCCTCTGGAAGTGTTCTTAACCACTGAGCCATCTCTTCATTCCCCCCTCCCCCCAAATTTGAAATATTACATTATGTGGTAAGAATTACCAAATTTTTGTTTCTCTTATGGTTTTAAGACTGTGAATACCAAACATTTTAATGATAATATTTCAAAATCCTATATATCCATTTAGTCAAACATGTTGACTATCAGCATTTTCAGGTAGGTGTAGTCTTCATTCCAATCTCAGTCAGATACCTTCTTGTTGTGAGAAAAAGTTCTCAAGTGTGTGATTACATCTGCCATAGCACTTAGTTAAAGTACCATCTGGGGAATGGATTTTGGTTTCTCTTTCTCCCTGCCTATCTATATGTAGGCTGTCCCTACCAAATCTTATTTTTTGCAATACTTCTACTTTAGGTCCTGTTTCTTCTGATTTGACAAGAAAGACAATTTTGTAATAATAAATTACATTCTAGCTCTGAAGAGTTCAGCTAAGAAATTTTCTCTTCATTAAGAGTTAATGGATTACTGCAGAATGACTACTGAAGTAATATTACATTATCGACCATATGAAAACGATCCCAAACAGCTGGCAAACATCGCAGAAAATGTCATTCAAGACTTTCCTACTCACCCACGATCAAGATTTATTCCTTGGTTTCCTCACGATGAGTCCAAACTTCCACTCAAGCCTAAAAAATTACCACCAGTAATTTCTGAAGAGGCCGCTGAGAATGTGAAGCAGTACTTAACCATTTCAGAACCTAGTGTTAAATCACAGAGCTATGATTGCACAGTAGATCTTTTGGAGTTTCAACCTAGCTCAAAAATGCAGCACTTAATCCAGTCACACACACTGAAGGAGCAGACTAATTTGGCAAATTTGGATAAAAATTCAGGAAAAGAAAAACAGCACAAGAAGAGATCCTGGAGTGTTTCACTTGCCAGCAAACATTGTCCAAAAAAGATTTTTCCTTTGTCTAGAAAATTGCAAGCTAGTTTAAAGACACTACATTTGCACTCCCTTCATAGAGCAAGATGGACTTTAGAAAACAGTGTTTGCAACAACCAAACTCTGGAAGACATTTGGACAAAACTCAATCACCTTATCAGACACAATGAACTTCCTTCTTGTAATGCTACCATCCAGAGACAGTTAGGCCAAATATGGGTGTTCTGTGATATTAAGTACTGTGAATATGTAGGAAATCTTCTTAAAGAAAGATTATCTCTTATTGGGAAAATTAATTTATTTGTACATAAATACGGTGTTATTTTTAGTATGTAATACATTTTGATTATCAGGAAAAATATTCTGAATGAAATGAATATAGACTGAAATTGTGAAATGAATAAATTTTATTGATCATTATATTTTTAATGACTTTTAAATTTTGATGCTTCTTTATAGTGTGAAGAAATAATTGTGTAATATATGTACAGTTTGTGTCCAGTATATAAATATCACATAATTCGAAGGCTTGTCAATCAAATCAGGAACATTCCAGATTATGTTCATTAGCATTCTTTTAAATGAACTTTGATGAATTATTGTTTGTTCTAAAATTGAAAGTAAGCGTTCTAACCTTTATCCCAATGATTTGAGTTCAAATGAATGATTTTATTTTAATGAATCCTTAAAAATCCTTATTTACCTACATATAACATGCGCTGTGTGTAAAATTAGAAGTCTTATCATGGTATGTCTGATTTTGTATTTTTCATGGTTTATTTTAAGGTTGCCAATCAAGAGTTAAAAGTTTGGAACTCATATCACTTTTTGTGATAGTTTTATTATTTTAAAAGGAATATAACATCTAAAAGTATAAGTTACAATGAGATTATAAACAGTTTTTAAATCTAAGAATTAAAAGGAGCTTTTTTGTTTTCATATGTGGAACATATGAAAAGTTCTGAATTTTCCGGGCAGTGATTGTGTTCTCCTTTAATCCCAGCACGTGAGAAGCAGAGGCAAGTAGATCTTTGTGAGTCATAGGCCAGCCTTGTTTACAGAGTGTGTTCCAGGGCTACACAGAGAAACACTGTCTCAAATAAAACAGAAGGGTGAAGTTAAAGATTTTTTTGCTTCAAATAGCATAGTCATTCTAAAGGAGAAAAAGTTCACTTCCCATTTACCTAGACAATACTTAAGGTGTTATCAACACCTGACAACTTAGAACTCACTGTTATTTCCTAAGAATCTTTTATTTTTAATTACATATATGTATTGTGTGTTTGCATGTGAGTACACATGCCATTGTGCATATATGGAGTTCAGACAACAGCCTGCAGGAGTTGGTTGGTTCTTTCTTCCTACCATGTAGGTCCTGGGACTTGAATTCAGGTCATTGTGTGCTTTTATCTACTAAACTAGCTCTCTAGAAGCCTTTTAAAAATCTGTCATATCAGGCTGGAGAGATGGCTCAGCGGCTAAGAGCACTGACTGCTCTTCCAGAGGTCCTGAGGTCAATTCCCAGCAACCACATGATGGCTCATGACCATCTGTAATGGGATCCAATGCGCTTTTCTGGTGTGTTTGGAGACAGCTATAGTGTACTCACATACATATAATAAATAATTAAAAAAAAAAAAGATGTCAGATCTTTGAACTTAGTACTTCATGTAGAGCCTGGGGCTGGGTGACTCTTGCCATTAGCTGCTGTCATTAACCTCCCTTTCCTTTCAAGATCCCACTGTTTAGCCTCACATAGAACATGCTAGGGAAACAAAGATAAGTGTGGAAAGATAAATCAGTGAAAGCCTTTGGAAAAATGCAGCCAGCACTTACTCTCTAGGAAAGAGGCAGACGATAGAGAGAGAGAAAGCTAAGATGAAGTAATCCAAGTACCAAGCTTTGGTTTGTTCCTTTAAACTTTGACCTGGTCTTAGACAAATCTAACTTCAGTTGCCCAACTTAACAAATAACAGGTATGGATTTTGTGGTTTTTTGGTTTTTGAATTTTTGAACCAGTAACTTACTGTAGCATTAAAGCATAGATATAAGATTACTGCCCAATAACTAGTACTTACTTTTAGTTTCTCTGTAAATGTTTCTTGTGTGTATACACATATAAAAGCCAGAGGCCAGCCTAGGCATCTTGGCCATCAGCTACTTTGGTTTGTTTTTGGTTTGTTTGCTTTGCTTTTATGGAGACAGAGTCTCTCTGACCTGGAGCTTGTCATGTAGGCTGGGTAAGCAGGCCAGCCAGCCCCAAGGATCCAGATGTCACTACCACACCCATCTTTTCTTACATTGCTTCTGAGATCTAACGCAGGTCCTCATGCTAGTGCACAAGGGAACCGTCTCCCAGCCCACTGCCAGAGTTTCTTAAATCTTGCTTTTGAAGGTAGTTTGCTCTTTTGTACATGAAGTCTTCAGTTTTTAAGATCCATTAATTCATTATAGGATATGAGATGGTTTTAAATATGCCTTTGAATACTGGCACATTTTATTTCATTGTCTAGAAAAGTACATTGAAACCTTAGTTTATTTAAAAGCTCAAAGAGAGCCAGGCATGGTGCATAGCTTCAATCCCACCACTGGGGAGGCAGAGTTAGGTGGATCTCTGAGTTCCAATACAGCCTGAGCTGCTAGTGAGACATATCTCAGGCACTAAAGGAATGAACTGGGGGTAGGGACTTGTGGTTATAATAGGACTTGAAAGACTGAGGCAGGAGAGCCAAAGTTCAAGGCTAGTCCGAACTTCATGGCACATTCCAGGTCATCTTGGGCTATGATGTGAGGCCTCGTCCCAAAACTTCAAACATTCTGCTTGCCCCGTGCATGTTTCACAGATGTGCGCTTAGGCAGTACATACAGCTGTGGTACATCACAGATGTGCGCTTAGGCAGTACATACAGCTGTGGTACATGCCTGTAATCGCATACTCAGCCAAGACTGGGAGACAGAGGATATGAGCCCAGCTAGGCTTCATAAAACAATCTCTGGAGTTAAATCTCTAAAAAACAAAAGAAAACGAAAAATGGGCTTTAAATTTTAGCTATTTAAAATTAAGAAGGCTACCTTTTGTGTACCTCTCTCAGGGTAGCTATTTATCTTCATGTTATATTTAATAATTTTAACTTGTTTTTTTCTCTACTTAAAAGTAAGAGTGGAGGCTGGAGAGGTTGTCCAGAGGTTAAGAACACTTACATGTGCTCTTGCATAGGAACCAGATTCTGCTATGGGGGCTCAGAGGACCTCATGACCGCCTCTGACCAGGAACTCAGACGATACACATACACACATCCAAGCAAAACACTCATACCAGAAAAAAAAAAAAATCTTTAAACAAAGAAAGGTAAGACTGAAGGTTGGAGACACCGTGTCTTGAGCTGGTTAACACCGGAATGGAGTCCTGCTTGGATTCCCTGGGATATTTTTAATAAGACATTTCACCCTTGTGACCCCAAGTTTACAATCAGCTGTTTGGGGGATATGTTTAAACAGTATGAAGTCACCCTGGTTCTAGTTTAGGTTCTGCCACTGACATATTTTGCTGTACATAATGTTTAATGTGCAAAGTTACCTTCAATAGGCATTCTCGGCCTTGTATGTGTAACGTAGATAATATTTATAATGTTAGAACTTATCATTCTCAGCCTTGTATGTATAATGGAAATAATATGTATAGTGTTAGTACTTATATTTAATATTAAAACTCAGTTATGTTAGTATGAACTTAATGAATACTGTGCACTTGGCTTGAATATTAACCCTAAACAATTTGAACATTTTGTCTCTCTTAATTGACAGTGATGCGATTGACTAAACCTACCTTGTTCACCAATATTCCTGTAACGTGTGAAGAGAAGGACTTACCTGGTATGTAAAGACAAGTTAAAACTTGAGTTATCCACACTATTTTGGAAGATGTTTACCTTTGCCAGTCTTAATGCTAACCGTTTGTTGAGTAATGTGTTGCCGGTATTTATATGTTGTGAAGGTGGTCATTTGAAAGATTGGGCTCCATTATAATCTACAATTCAAGATGCTATCTTTTGATAACAAGAGACTTTTAGTCTAAGATACATTCATATTTCTATCACAACGTTCTCTGAGTCCTCAAATATGCCTTAGCATTCTATTTAGAATTATTGGTGTTTCTACAGTGTATTTATGTCTTATGACCTTCAAAAATGAAGTATTCAATAAAATCAGTTTTGGTTTTCTTTTGTTTTGTTTGTTGCTTTGGGTTTTTTTGGAACAGGGCCTCACTACACATATCCTAAGATGTCTTGAATTCTTGGTTCACCTGTCTTAACCTGGCAGTGCTGTGATTACAGGCATTCACCATGTAACCAGAGTATTCTGATATGAATTTTGTGTTACTACAGATAAGAGATGACATTTTACATTGTATTGTATATTGAGTTTTAATATTATAACTCAAGAATGAGTGTAAATATTATATCTCAGTTTTTGTTTTTTGACACAGAGACTCATATATCCCAGACTGGCCTGGAACTCATGTAGCTGAAACTGACCCTAAATTGCAAAACCTCCTGCCTCCCACTTCTAAGTCCTAGGATGTCAGGCTTGCATCACTACACCCAGTTGTATCTGTTTTGGAAAACTTAGAAATTAAAATTTTAATACTATTTTTGTTCAGATTAAAAAGAAATCTGACAGCCTTCTCACCCCACTGCCCATGGTGCTAGGGGCCAATCCAGGGCTTTATTGTTTTGGTTTAGAGACAAGAAGACCACTCAGCCCAACCAAATCTGAACTGAGAATATGTAATAAACCAGCTGGTGACTGCCTGGAGAGAAACACTTCTCATGGAGCATCCTCAAACTTATAGTATAGGGAGCGTTTAAAGGCAAAAAACTGCATCATATTTGACAGTTGCAAGGGGAACTAAAGTAAGCAAGCAGTTTAACAGAAGCCAAAACCTGCAGTTAGCTGGAGGAGTCAAACCCTGAGTTTCTAGCACAGGTTTGGGGACTTTCCCATGGGACTTTTCATAGCCGGTATAGAAAAAGGGAAGATCAATTTCAGGTTAAATCAAAGATGGTTCCAGGTAAGGCAAGATTGAAGAAACATTCCCCCATCACATTATGAATACTAGGCAAGAGCTTTCCCACTGAGCTGCCCACTGGTTCCTACTTCTTTACATAAGTAAAATTCGCTTTAAAGGTAGGTGTTAGAGTTTTATTTTTCTCTTCTTACAGGTGATCTCTTTAACCAGTTAATGAAAGATGATCCTTCAACTGTAAATGGTGCAGAGATTATAATGTTGGGAGAAATGTTGACTTTACCCCAAAATTTTGGGTAAGAATGATAGATTTACATAAGATATTCTGCAGTCCCCGAAAACTGTTAATCAAGTTTGTATATAGAGTGGGAAAGTGTGGGTTGTACAATAAGTA